ATAAATATATAGGTCTTCTTGCAACCGCAAAGTTCTTCGCTGTGTACGAGAAAGTAAGAATCAATGAAAGTTTTTGTTGCTGATAATAAGATAGTGTAATTGCGTCATATTGTGAATATTATAACAATTATTTATTTTAATCCGTCTGATCACAATATTTAAAATTTCTTATAATTAAGATAATAAAATATCATTGATGTTCCATATCGATTGATCGATTTACATTTCGGAACATTTACACAACATGTTTCGGTTTTTATAAAACCATCATCAGGTGTAAAATATATCTAAGAACTTAAAACTACTTGATAGTTTTTCTTCAAATGGATATCCTCCGATAATCTGAATATATTTTAAACTCACACGAAACCTTCGTTCTTCAAGCAGTCGGTTTAGAGCCAAATGTGAGGTCATCATACATCACAGCTTCTAGTAGATTACTGTTGAATTTTCTTTGTACGTTGAGCGTTGTCTGGATATAAATTTATGTGTAGGCTTATTTTATTAAATTCTGTCCTGTATTTGACAAAATAAGGAACCAGTCTTATTAAATTATCATACGTGATTCAACCGCCACGGTGGTCTAGCGGTTAGAACGCTGGCCTTGTAATCCTGGGGTCTCGGGTTCGATTCCCGGCGGTGCCCGAATTTTTAACTTGTGTTGGGCAAGGCCGTGGCCTAGGCAACACGGAGTTTTCCTCATTGGCATCCCAACAATTACTCCATTCACACATAGAAGAAGGCAATGGCAAACCACTTTTGGATCATCTGCCAAGAACGTATATGAACAGGTCCCAGTCCGAGAAAAGGATGGAAGGATCCTGTTCATATGGACCTGTCGTCAGACAGAACACTAAATAAATAAAATAAATAATAATTATCGCACACCGAAATAAACCAGCTGGACAATTTTTACTGGGAATGTTTTCGCAGGATGGCAATTTGGAAGCACAGAGCCCTGAGGTGGCAAACGAAAGCCATGGTGTCAAACTGGGGTGGATTCAAGGGGTGCTTATCCCCTGCCTACTCAACATTTGGGGTGTTATGCTGTTCCTGCGTTTGTCCTGGGTAGTTGCTCAGTCCGGAATAAGTAAGTACTGTACTATACATATTGGGACACAAGGTCAAACAGTCGAGGTATGAGTTTGTTTCGTTAGAAGTAATTGTATTTCTTTGCTATCACAAAAACTCTTGGTCAGTTTTGTGGTCTTGGTGAAGGTAACAGAGTGGTCCTGGAGAAAGGGTTATTAGCTTATATCCAACCAACAATACAAAGACAAGCCTGCTATTATTTTCCTATCTTGAGTCACTTCAATCAAAACCAACTCATCACAATGTATTTTGCCTTGATCTAATTCTCTCACTTCAAGGCCGCACCTTATCAAGAGTCGTGATTTCGAATCCCACTTGGGGCGTAACTGTGTATCTGAATTTTACTATCCTGTTCTGTCCCAAGTAGGTAGGTGACTGTATCATTAAAGTGAAAGCATTTCTCTTTTACTTTTAGTCCAATCGCTCATCATTATCGGCATGTCGACTGTGGTCTGCGTCCTTACCACTCTATCTCTCTCTGCCATCTGCACCAACGGAGAGGTGAAAGGAGGTAACGTTCTCTCATCTCAGGGGTACATTCACAGTTTCGTAATTTTAAAGTGAAATTCTCTATATCTCTGAGAAATGATCGTTAGGACATTGTTTTTGTGTCAAAAGAACTTGGTTATTATTACACATTGTTTTATGTTTATCTACAGTGCAGAAAATATACTGAACATCTTTCGAAAACCCGTTGCTACTCAACGTGATGTTACTGTCACTCTCATCTCTGTAGTTCGCATAAAACAAACTCCTGCATAATTGACGCTCAGATGGTTTTATGTATAAATTAATGATAAGACTCTAAAATACGCAGATAATGTAGACTCCAGAGGCGTGATGTTCGTATCAAATTCATTAAAATTTGTCGTTTGGTTTAGAAGAATAGCAGAGGTCTGTCATGGTATCTTCTTTGAAATTAATTCTAATATGAAATTATGTGTAAATTATTGTAACCATCAGCGAATATGCTTTTTTTTATATATATATTTATGAGTTCAGTGTAATTCTCATAATAAACAAAGATTATGTATGTCCTCAAACACTTTTAAAAATATTTGAAATGGTGAAATATTTTTTTGTTTTCTTTGAGGTACGGACTGAATTCTTAAGAATTATTTAGACGAGCTTTGTATTTAAAGGATTAATTAAATATTAATTTTATTGGAACTAGTTTTTACGAGCTGTTGAACTTCCTACATCCAACGCAGGCATGAACAGACCTGTCAAAGCCAGGTCACGTGTTAAGACTTGTTCTTGTTTTGCAGGCGGAGTGTACTACATCATCTCCCGGTCACTGGGTCCAGAATTCGGAGCTTCAATCGGCATTGTATTTGCATTCGCAAACACCGTAGCGGCGTCAATGAACACTATTGGTTTCTGCGACTCACTCAATGATCTTCTTCATTCTCATGGACTTCAGATTGTGGACGGTGATGTTAATGACGTCAGAATTGTTGGAACCATCGCCATTTTGGTCATGTGTATCATATGTGCTGTTGGAATGGAATGGGAATCGAAAGTAATAATATTGAATAATCATAAATGCTATAAGTTACAATGTTAAAGAAATATATTTCTGAAGGGTCTTCCTAATATTTGTGACTATGAAAAAATATATATTAAAATTGATCTTAGAAAACTAGGTCCGAGTAATGTCAACAGAATACCTGACGTTTCAAAACAAGCGTCAGATTATATATCTATTGAGACATTATTTATTTAGTGTTCTGTCTGACGACAGGTCCATATGAACAGGATCCTTCCATCCTTTTCTCGGACTGGGACCTGTTCATATACGTTCTTGGCAGATGATCCAGAAGCGGTTTGCCATTGCCTTCTTCTGTGTGAGTGTGAATGGAGTAATTGTTGGGATGCCAATGAGGAAAACTCCGTGTTGCCTAGGCCACGGCCTTGCCCAACACAAGTTAGAAATTCAACAGAAGTTATAAATTCGGGCATCGCCGGGAATCAAACCCGAGACCCCATGATTACAAGGCCAGCGTTCTAACCGCTAGGCCACCGTCGCTCTTATTGAGATATTGTGTAACACAAAATTAATATCATTACTTATCTTTGATTAAGAAAATAATTTGTATAACATCATTTTATTTGTCATAATCTTAAATATAATCTTATATCGATATTATAACTGTGAAGTGCTGAAGTGAATGTACATAGTATGCCTCTTAACAGAATTACCATGGCAACGGTGATAATATTATTTCGTAAATCCTAAAATCCCTAAAAGAGCAAATGATCGCTATGTCATGTTAACGATCATAACAAAACACATCCTCAATATCAGGAAATGGTCACAAACCAACCCTGCTTATCACATGGATAAGATTATCCTTAAATATGTGTAAGTAAGGACATTCTTTTTGCAGGCACAAAACTTCCTCACTGTCATCATTGTTGCAGCCATTGTCGACTTCATTGTTGGTGCAATCATCGGACCAAAGGACGTTTTGCAAGAAGCCCAAGGATTCGTGGGGTTTAACCGTTAGTTTGACGTCACTCTGTTCAGTTGAAATGTTTTTAATATACTCCCCCCCTCTAGGACAATATAAATGCATAGAGCGGAATCCTTTAATGTTAACAAGATCCTGCTACCTGTTACTATCCTGAACCAGATTAATCCAGTCCACAACTTAATTCCTTCATTCCTTAATATCAATTTCAATATTATTTTTCCACCTTAAATATATCAGACAGTAAATTAAGAAAGTTTTTCTTATGTTGTAGTGACTGTCACGAAGCAAAACTTGGGACCAGACTACAGGTTTAGCGAGAATGTGAATCAGGACTTTTTCTCAGTGTTCGCCATCTTCTTTCCATCCGTTACTGGCATTCAGGCTGGCGCCAATATCTCAGGGGATTTAAAGGTTAGTCTGCGTGTCTTTGTTCTCGAATGATCATATGGCGACTACAATTTTAACACATTTCAACAGATTTCTTTAATATGGAAAATCTTTACTGAAAATATTACGAAATTATAAGGATATATTCGTATAAATTCTCAACTGCTAAGCGTTCATAATCATCTTAGAATGTTATTTGATACGTCGTAGATGATTAACCTGAAAATAAATCTGTGCCTTCTTGTGGTGTAGAAATACAACACGCATGACATACAATTAATCCACAGACTTGATATAACGTGGAAACCGTTTTGTTATTGATAATGTCGCAGGATCCAGCGTCAGCCATTCCAAAGGGCACTCTTCTCTCGCTGCTAATATCTATGGCATCCTACGCCGTATTCGTGGTGTTTGCCGGGATGACGGCAGCCAGAGACGCCAGTGGCATTGTGGGAGATGTAGCTAATGGGACACAATTTTATTGCTACCCGAATAGAAGCTGTAAATGGGGACTCATGAACAGTTACTCAGTAAGCATGGCTTATCAACAGATAGAGTGAAAGATATTAAAACTACTTGCAACCTAATACCGGGAATTCCCAGGATTAGATTTTGCATTACTGATACAGTTACTGATATTTGTAAAGTGATATTGTAAAAAAAAAAAAATTGCAAATATCAAGTTACAACCAGTCATTATTCATCTCGATTACGTCACAATACGTTGTGGTCTCTATGTTTGTTAGTTTTCATTTTTTAAACAACTTGTGTCGAGGACATTTACATATTTCTCAAACATCCGTCTAACCAATTAATTAATTCCACGGAGCACAGTCAATCCTTAGAAACTCATAGCCAATCTGTTAATCGAAGAATTTCCCGCTCTTTATGTAACCGGAAAGCTTACAACATTCTGCATATCTTAAATCCTCATACATTATTTTTTTAAATTTCATTTTAATATTATCCTCCCATCAGAGCAAGGTCCCGCAAGTGGTCTTTTCTCATAAAAATATGCAATTGTTTCTCCTCGCATGCTACATTTCCTGTATTTTCCTATTTTTATTAACGTTAAACCTCTGATTCTGTTCTACTAATTTGGATATCGCTCAAGAAGTAGAATTATTATCCTTTCAAAAAATTAAACTAACCTAAGCTTACTTTATGTTTGTCCTGTTAGATGATGCAGGTTATTTCTATCTGGGGGCCTCTAATCTACGCTGGATGTTTTGCGGCAACATTATCCACTGCTCTTACAAACCTTTTGTCAGTACCAAGACTTATCCAGGCTCTTGGTATTGACAGAATATATCCAGGACTCATATTTTTCTCAAAGGGTTATGGGAAGGCTGGCGAAGCGTACCGCGGATATGTGCTTACATTCCTCATATCCACAGCCTTCGTCCTTATTGGTAAGTCTCAATTCAGTGATTAGTCTGAGCTACGTTGCTAGGTTGCCTGCCTCTGCAGGATGAAGGTAGTAATCCACGATTTAGCTGGGAGCACTCTTTTAATAATATTCATTAACCTCATAAATTATTTATGAGCTTGGATAATTATGTCAGGAAAGTGACAAGTTACTGGTTGAACAACCGGTGTTCGAAGTTAAATATGTCAATTAAGTCTTAACAAATGTAATACAAACTCTTAAAATGAATAATAAATTATAGCCATACTCTTTCAAAATCGCGTGATTAAACGTTTCAGTAATATCATAATTTGTTGTGGAACTTTACAGCTGAGTTAAATTTGATCGCTCTGCTAAGTTCGAAGTTACATTTGTTACTTAACTTTTTGAAGCCCAGTGGTAATTATATGTCCCACCAGCTTGTATAATAAGTAAATATTACATTTTATTCATGGGTTTTCTATAATTATCGCTTTAAACAGGGATCATTTCCTTAAACAGCGTCAACCAGTTGATATTTGTAACAGCGAACGGTTGTGTTTTCTTCGCGGTACGGACTGAATTCTTAAATGTTATTTAAATAGTATACAAACTATTGAACTATATAAATAAATATTAACACTACTAATGATACGCATTTAAATTTTAAGTTGTATCGGAATTCTTTGTGGAATTGTTTCAGCTCAGCTGAATGTAATCGCTCCGCTGATTTCAAATTTCTACTTGGCATCTTACGCCCTCATAAATTTCTGCACGTTCCATGCTGCTTTTATCAAACCACTGGGCTGGAGACCTACATTCAAGGTGAGAATCCAACATTCTTTAAAACTTGTTATTTATAAAAAAAAATTTGTCAAAGTTGGAAATAAAAACAACATTTACAGACACCACATCGCACATAACAATAAATTATTTTTTCTTACAAATCGAAAAGAAATTTCAGATGAAGTTGGAGATTATTTTACGTCATAGGTTCTTTCTATCAGATATGTACGACTTTATAGAAATAAAAATATTCAACTTTAGTTCTGCTTTGGGTTATTATTTTATTATTTAGTGTTCTGTCTGAGGACAGGTCCATATGAACAGGATCCTTCCATCCTTTTCTCGGACTGGGACCTGTTCATATACGTTCTTGGCAGATGATCCAGAAGTGGTTTGCCATTGCCTTCGTCTGTGTGTGAATGGAGTAATTGTTGGGATGCCACGAAGGAAAACTCCGTGTTGCCTAGACCAAGGCCTTGCCCAACACAAGTTATAAATTCCGGCACC